CATGTGCATGTGTGTGCGTGTGCATACACATGCTCATGCACATGCATGCACGTGTGTGTATATTTGCATACTTATCTGTATGCACATGTGCATGAGTGTTTAATGCATAAATGCATTAGTGTTTGTCTTAGTTCTTGAGTGCATGAGAGTATGCGTAACAGTTTTAATACGTGTGAGTGCATGTGAGCACAAGTGAAGGAGAGCACATGAGTCCGTGAATGAGTGTGTGCTTAGGAGTGAATGTCAATGGATGTGGATGTGTCTCTCTAGATACATGTGTGCTTGTACAATATGAGTATCACCTGCAGGAATAAAGATGGATATCGATGAAGATGGACTGTATTTCCTATATAAAAAAGGAGGAAAATTGGTCTGGTATAAAATACAAAGAAGTTTCAGAAAAATATAGTGACAATAAATTACACTTTCCTGAGATAATGACATAAAATTGAGAGCAATAAAAAGTTATAGATGATCCTAAGAGCAATGACATAAGAAAAGTTATAATACCATGAACTATACACCAGGCCTATAATAACAAAGCCCAAGTGAATTGAAATCTCATTTTCATAAGACAAAGATAATTAGAGAAAAAAAAAATGGGGAAAAAATTACCTTAAAACCTCCAAAATAGACCTAGATTATGGCAGGACAAAAAACAGGCACAATTCTGAAACCGTAATAAAATACACATATATCCTTAGGTTCTAGAATGCTTGCATAAAAGATATTGAATATCTCCACATAACAAACAAATCAATTTTGGACAATCAACTTCAGATTTGTACCTTAACCTACTCTATCTACATTGTTTTGCCATTATCATACACAATTTTATTCTAAGTATATTTACATCACTATATAAAAGAAATACAATGAAAATGGAACTCTGCAATATTTTTGGGGTGTATCATGTGCACATTTTTGGGCCAATTGAATGTCACACTGCTGAAGGTAGAATGGCTCAGGAAGTGATTTGATCACAATCTCAACATTTTCATTATAAAACTTTCCTTCTCTTCAGTTTAAAAGAAATCATTTTTAACCCTAATACAAGTTGCAATATTGATTATCTTCCAAAATGGATATTACAACATGAATCTATAGCACTGTCTGTGGTGTTTAACTGTCAAACAGGTCACATTTATGTACAATGAGCAGACCTGTTTCTGTAATAGGGTCCAATATCTTTAAATCAAAATAAGAATAAGAAGGGCAGTTAGCTGAAAACCAATATTTCCAATTCACTTAAGTAGCATATGATTCACATTTTCATTTACACATTATATTCATCTGTATAAAAAAATCTATTTGCCTCTTATTGTGTTTATACTGCACAAGCTCATTATAAAAAAGATGGAAGATTCTCTAGCTCATATAAAATTCATAGTAAATTTACTAACATTGGTCAGAGGAAATCTATAGTATCAATTATCATAGTACTGTGAAAGAACTTTACGAAGCCCATTCCTTTAATAACCTGGCAATTTGTGTATGATCTCAAAATTAAATATTTCCCACCACCAAAAACAAGTTCTACTGAGTACCATATTTTCAAAATGTTGGCAGACATTGCACAAGGATTATATTCATGACCACAGCCTAAAATGTTAGATTAAATATCTAACATTTTTTGACTAGTTTGAATTTTGCATTCACTTTCTGCTAAATACACTAGATCTATAAACAGGTAACAAAAAAATCCAGTTAATAAGTGAAACCAAACAAATACTATGAACCTGAGAGTCCGTTCCAAACAATTAAATTCAAATAGTCCTTCTCAAACCTAGAGAATCTCCACTTTACACTTACTAAACAGCAGTCATAAACAAAACACCTTGGCAAGTATATCAATAATCTAGGTTTCTGTATCTGTAGATACAGCAAACCTGAACTCTGAGTAGCAAATAGTGCTGCCTTTTTGTGCTACCAAACCTTAAACAACAAGGCTATACACCACCACCAATTATTGCTAAAGCACCTTTCCTGGTAGATTCAAGAAAAATAGTATTTTTTAATTACATGGAGAGGAAGATTCATAGTACATGGATTCTAGCACTACACCGTCCTTATGTCAGAGGAGAGCATGCTGGGTTTCATGTCTGTAATTCCACAAGCAAAGATCTTGGTAGAATTACATACACTAGATGCCTATTTCACCTCATAATTACAGTTCTCTTCTGTATATGATAATGTGTAGAACAATCATTCACTTTCTTTTCTATTCTTTTTTTGCCTCATTATTTATACTGATTTACAACATCAACAAATAATGTAGGTTCACTGTTTATCATAACCATTACCCCTAATGGACTGTCCCATATGTCAAAGGTGCTTTGGCTATTGTGGTTTCAGGGACAGGAACCCTAGATAATAGGACAAAACTTTGTATAACATATTACAAATAGACCATCTGAAACTTTAAATTTAGCTATTTTTGAAACAACATGGAACTATTAACTATATATTGAGTACCTAAATATTTCACATTGTACATGTTGAATCAAAGAGCACAAAAAACCTTCCTCTTACTAAGACTGTTGCACACGACGATACACAATATAAGATATCGCTACAAAACCCAAAGCAACTGTGAGAGATGCCAAGAAAGTTTTACTCTGCTTTAGAACTCCTCTGAGCATAGTCATGTGTACAGCATTAACTGAGAAGTATGTAGCCTTCTGTAATGGAATAAAATTTGTGAATTAGCAGAACAGCAGAAAAATTTAGTTGTATTTGTCAATAAAAAGTAATATAATATATATAAATTCAGTTTAGATATACTCTAGTTTCTTAACCAAATGGATCCGGGTGACATGCCCACCATATCATCAAAAAATCTGGCTGACGGCCAGGAGACAGGAATATGCTGTCATGGAAAACTTTTGCTGAGGGCCAGGGTGATGGCAAAGTGATGTAATTAAAAGTTTGGCTGATGGCTAAGGAACCAAGAATGACATGAGGAGTGCTTAAAGCTCTTATAGGAAGATTAGACTCAGTGGTCATTTAGGTAGGGACTCTTCCATTTTTCCCACCAGTAAATGAAGGTGGAATGTACTATCCATGAGCCAAGGCTGGAAGAGTGCCGGCTCCAGGAGGGACATTATTTCCATGCTCTTGATCCTAATCCTGCTCACCATGACCAGTGGTGCATGGTGTGTTACAGAAAATTTAACCATACAAACATAAAAAATCACACAAATAACACAATATTACTAAATGTTACTGCACAGAGTTATAGATTACCCAGAGAGAGAATATGGAATCTGCTTAATGAAGACAGTCCATTACCATGTTCATACAGCATAACAAATGACTAATATAGGCTTTGGAAAATAGCAAAATAAAAGAAGACAATGAAAAAGATAAAAACATTACCAGGGGGAGGCAAGCAGTCTTGACATCAGACATGAGTGTTAGAGTGGGTCAGGCTTACTAGCTACACACCCAGAAGTCACCACTCAAGAAAGCCTAATACCCAGATTTTGGTCCAGGTGTGAGCCATGGCGCACCCCAATCCAACAGGTTAAGCTAAATGTATAACATTTCCATAAAATTTTCAGTCTTTTTTTTTTTTTGACAGCAACAAAGAGAGAAAAGCAAATCAGCCCATTAAACTAAGAAAATATATGTAAATACATACAAAGAGCTTTCCTTACCTTGAAAGAATCTCTCTTCTGTATACGTTCCCAATATGCCTGTAATGCTGGACGTTTACCTTCAGACCAAAATCTTCTTTCATAACCCAGCTGATTCAAGCGATTTAATAGAATAGCTAAATCAATGTCAGCAATGCTGAATAATGATCCACACAACCAACAGTCTAGATTATCTGTCAAAGTAAGAAGAAACAAATATTAATAAATCTGTAAAAAAAAAATCTTAAGCATTATACAGCACATTCGTAGCCTCTGAAGATACATTTTCAGATCTTAGAAAGTAAATTTGAAAACATGTTTCACAAATGCAAAATCAATCCCCTGTATATCCAGTTTTAATCATTTTCAATTTAGAGCAACACTGTATGTGCAAACTGCAGTATTACACTCAGATCTTATCATTAGTACCAAAATGTCACATAACCTCAAACCTTCTTCCTCAAAATTTTAGGTGTGTTAGAAACAAGAGTAATCCATAACTTCATTAATGATTCTCTCTTACAACAATTTCCATAGTGTTATGTTAGTACAGCAACCCCACTAAACAGTTCTACTTCAACCTCTAACTCCATTCTTGCCTGTATCATGGGAAAAAGCACAAACTTAGTCAAGTCTACAATATATCTCTTTCCTAGTATGTGCTGCTTTGATATAGTAGTAACTGAGGTCTACTTTATCAGGTTGCTAAAGAATAGAATCCTGCTTGGTGCTTATACCAGAAGTGGTCTCTGCATAGAAGTTCAAATTATGAAACAAAAAAATCTGAGGCTAGATACATTATGTAAGTAGTTTTTCGCTGGTTGTATGGTAGATGGAATGGTTGTTCAGGGGAACCCCACATTCCATTGAAGCTATAGAGTGTGGTGTTGATCCCATGGAGGAGATAGGCCATTAGTGTCTTACGAAGCATTATAGACACTTTGTCTCAGGGACATAAAGGTGATAATCTACAGGTCTTGTAAACAAGAGCACTGCTGTGCTAGGTCAGCAGGGTCAGGAGAGGCCAGGGCTCCTGTGTGGCACTCACGCCACAGTTCAGTATCAACCATGGAGTCCGTACTGGACAATTCTTGGTGAATTAATTAATTATCTTAAAAATTGTACTGACTTGCATGTGACAGGATTGAAGTGACATTGATAAAGGTCTACAACACTTCTTATTTCCAAGGTTAGACTTCAGCACATCATTAGACAAGGAAACACAATTGTATAAGTAAATAACTCTATTAAATGTATCAAGTTATTTCTTGTGTTTGTAATAACCATTTAAAAGTATATTGATAATGAGTGAATTTCATAAGAGAGTAGCCATACATAAAATTATTTGTATTATTCTTAAAA